ACACACACACACACACACACACACGCACGCGCACACGCACACACACACACACACACACACACACACACACACACGCACGCACGCGCACACGCGCACACGCGCACACGCACACACGCACACACACACACACACACACACACACACACACACACACACACGGAAAGCTGCTGAAGGAAACACTGACAACATTGTTCCAAAGACGATTCTGTCCCGCGGGAAATCTTGTTAGTGTGTTGTGATAAAAAGTTAACTGATGTCAGAGTTTATCAGCATTCCAGATGTGACCTCAGATAGACGAGTGTTCTTGCGACACACACATCTTACTGGTTTTGACATAAATCTGTCCTGGGAGTGTAAGGCTGAAACTTGGGATTGGTTATCAGGACAGTAAATGAAGGTTTTTCTCATGAAATGATCTGATGTCACCATAGAAACGCCACACCTGGCCCAGGATCTGAAGGACCACAGCGTGGTGGTGGGAGACACTGTGGCCCTTCAGTGTAAAGCCCTCGGCAGCCCACCTCCTCGCATTACCTGGTTACAAAACGACCAGCCGCTGCGTCCGTCTGACAGGCATCACTTCACCCCGGGGAACCAGCTGCTGGTCATTGGCTCCGCCTCCTTGGAGGACGCCGGCCGCTACACCTGCCTGATGTCTAACACCCTGGGCACGAAGCGTGCCCACAGCCAGCTGATTGTGACCCAACACAGGAGCAGCTGTGCATCTCCAGCAGGTCTGAGCACGTTCATCATAGGCATCATCGTCATCGCCGTGGTTACGAGCATCGTGGCGACTTCTCTGGTGTGGGTGTGCATCATCTACCAGACCAGGAAGAAGAGCGAGGAGGGCAGTGTTACCAACACAGGTGAGCTTAGACCCACTCCACACCTAAAGGTTAGCGTCACCGTCTGTACGTGATCTGATTCTAGCGTGTCTGTCCCAGATGAGACCATCATCCCTCCAGATGTCCCCAGCTACCTGTCCTCGCAGGGGACGCTGTCTGAGCGACAGGATGCGTGTATACGTGTGGACGCTGGAGGTGGACCTCACCCTAATGGACATGTTGCTGACACCACAGGTATCTGCTGCTCTCTACGTGGTTTTCAGAAACGCCCAAACCCCGCCCCTGATTAACGGCGTGATTTCCTCCCCCTCCAGGTTTTCATGAGGCGGTGGTGTGCACAGACTGCATGGAGGGCAGCAACATTTACCCCAAACAGCCCGACTACCTGGCCCACGGGCTCAGTCCTGTTGTAGTGGCGGACTACCAGCAGCAGCTTGCCCCCCCACCTTACTCCCACTGTCACCCAGAAGAGCTGCACGAAGCACCCCCCCACTGCAACGGATCTCCACACGGAATCCGGAAGGACAGCCACGGATCCACGTTCCCCAAAACCCACATCTCAGTCCAGCTGAGCCAAGACGACAGAACAGGTAGGATGATTTGTGAAACGGGCTTTTATGAGTTGGGAGGAAGTCAGCAGTGCTCGGGTCCTGAGCAAACGCTTACAGGCTTCAGCCATAAATCCAGAACACTTCTTAAAGCCTGGCGCTCCCGCAGGACTGTCACCGGGATCAGGTGCTTCCATAAGAAATGAAGAGCAGTTTAGAAGTCCTTGTCAAAGCAGCGTGGCGGCTGATGATCATTGTTGCACGCCCAGAGCCCTTCAGGATATCTCTAAACCCGCGGAGACGCAGCCGTCTCTCTGCTGCCAAACTCCTGCAGAAACACGTCCAGGCCCGCTCCAGGATTTAGTTTCTCTGGCGTCTGAATAGCAACTCTCACCTCCACATGTCAACACAAATCCACACGCACATTCCGCTGCCTCGCTTTCCCAAAACTGGATGCATATTTGTCAATATCCTTGTCACATGGTTATGTCTGCCTTTTTGACCCCTCCCCCCTTGTCTTTGTTCACCAGGGAGCAGAGTGGGACACACGCAGGACTCCTTCCATAAACCGGTGAAGCTGACGAGCCCCAGACGTGTGGACGAGGACTGTGAACCTGAGCTCAGACAGACTCTGCTGTCCAATGGACACGCCCTCAGGGCCTCTCAGACTGAGAGCGCCCCTCTGAGGAGAGCCAGCGACTAGCAAATCCAGCTCAACACGTGAACTTTTCTAAAGATTTTCTTTGCACTGGTAAATGAACTGCTACCTCATATCGAGGGGAATGGTCTCGGGCTTCCTGGATACGGACTGACGGGGAGCGCCGAGCAGAAAGGGGAGAATGCGGCAGGAGCGTCCGGAGTTTGAAGGCGGAGCTTTTGTGGGTGGCGTCCCATCTGAGCGTATCAGTTGTATATAGTTTAAAACCTTCCTTTGGGAGGTGACCAGTAAAAATTCTAGCTCCATAAAATGTGACTTGCATTTGAAGCGTGTAAATGTAGGGAGTTTGTATAGCCGGTGTGCAGCGGGGGGATGTGTGACTGTACATAAGAGTTTTCTTATATATTATATAACAAGAGTGTTTGAATATTTGTGCATGAAAAATAAACGGAGTGATATTTTTATTTTTCTTAGAAAAAAAACTGCCATTTTCAGCTTTGACCAACATTCAGCTGCAGTGCCTTATTGCATGATCAAAGCCAACTCCACCTGTGTTTTAGTGAGGGACACCGGTCCACCTTTTATAGTCAACAAACCGTTTGATTGCACTTGTTTTTCTTTTTTCGGGACGAACTCGGCCAGCGATGGCCTTACAGACGTAACTCCGTTGTGGTATGAAGGAAGAGCTTTGATGTGAAATATTTTTGCTACGTCAGATGGTGCGAGGATAGTGGGCAGTCGGTTCAAGCACTTTTGTAAAAAAAAAAAAAAAAAAAAAAAGCTCACTCCATAAACGGATTGTGCACATCATCTGCAAACAGGAATGCAGGAACCTTCTCCATGTGAGAAGTTTCCGTTGAAGCTCTTCCGCCATTTTGCTTACTTTACTCTGAAGAAGCTGCTCTAATCTCTGGATAAACGCTTCTGTTCTAGAAGATCGGTTCTTAAGTTGTCAGGCTAATGTGGTGAAACTCAAGTTCTGTGAAAGAATGTTGACCTTTCAGTTAAAGCCACAATTAGGAGCTCCTGATTGGCCGATTGTGACATTGTTACTGCTGTAAAGCCACAGTTCAGAAACAAAAGGCCAGTATTCCACCTGAGTCTTGTGAAATGTGTTCAAACCAAACCCAGCACTACACCGGGTCGCCTTCAGTCAGCTAGTTGTTCCCTCCCAGTCAGAGCCCTGTTCTCCAGCCGGTGGCCTCGTAGAGGTAAGGTGGAGGACATGCTCCTCTGATTACACCTGCGAGCACCCGAGATCCTGCTGGAAAACCGACCCCAGTGTGGCACACTTAAAGGTGGAGTGTGTGTTCATGTTTAGGAGCATTTTTACCATTCTGTGACTCCAGGGGGGACAAGGGACAAGAGGGAGCTGTTGGAAAACTAATTTATTGAAGCAAAACTGTCTGTACCGATGTCAAAGCTACAACAGTGAAGTGTCTAATAAAAAAGCAACCTAAAAAAACTCACATTTTGCTATCATTGTTGTTTTCTCACCTGTACAAACGTGAGGAGTAGATGTGTTTTTGCATTTGCATCACCAACCAGCTGAGTTAGCATTTAGCATTTGTCTCTGGTCACGGCGGTTATGGAGAAGACATCAATTCTAATGGAGCATAAACACGAAACCCAAAAACCTTGATCTTCAAAGCAGTGAAGCAGCTTGTGCATCACACACACTCTCTCTCTCTCACACACACACACACACACACACACACACACACACACACACACACACACACACACAGTGCTAATCATCCAAACAGGAATGTCTCTGGCCTCCTCAAAGCTCCAAAGACAGCAGCCATATTTTTTCCTTCTGCGGGTTGTTAAAAGTATTTGCGATCGACTCTGAGCTGACTCGGGGGTGAGAATCTGCATTCCAGATGGATGTTTGTCACCAGATGATTGACATGCCCCTGGCTGTGGCCTCCAATCACACACCGGCCATTGTTGCTCAGCAGCCCGGTGACACAGTGTATGACATATGGTCCCACCTGTGAGGCCCTCGGTCTTCACCCTCCCCACGTAGAGTTCTTCAGTTTTACTTTTAAAGCGATTCCAGAAGGCCGACTAGGCTACGGTACGGTCCTGCTGCTCTTCCATATGTCACTGCATCCATCACTAAGATGTCTTGCACTAGGCTTTCTTAAATAACTCTTGGAACTTGGCAATTTCAAACTTTCTTACAAAAAAGGAGGTCAAATTGCCACCAGAAGGGCATTAAACACTTTTTCATTTACTGAAAGATCCCAAACATTGTGACAGAAATACCTTGAGCTTTAATGAAGAAGCCTGAGTGGAGCAGCTGAGACTCCAGATAAACCTGCAGCCTTGTTAATTCAACAAAGTGCTCTATTGTTGGAGACATCTTAAAAAAAAAAAAAGACATCTCACGGGTGGATGAGGTCAGTCTGGCTCAGCGGGAATGTTCCAGCGGTAACATATTGCAGCGTCTCCCTGGTGGGTCTTATTCACAGGTGGCTTGGCTTCATGGAGAGAAGAAAATATGGATGAAACAGTAAAAGGAACCCTAGAGCCCAGAGGGTTCCTCTGGGACCTGACGGACTCTCCAAACATCTCAAAGTTTAAAGAGACAGTCTTTAATTTCTAAAACTCATTCGGTCACAAATAAAATAAGATATTAGATCACAATGCAGCCACAGAAGTCTGTCATGTTTTACTCAGAGTGCTGATGAGCAGGAACAAAGCACTCTGGGTAATGCAGTCATGTATAACGACTCCTCAGAGACCAGGAGTTTCCTGCTTCTAGACAGGGTGACACATCCAGAGGCTTCTTCCTGCAGCTCTTCACCAGGTCAGGAACTCTGTCCATCAACAAAGACGTGCTGCTAAAGCAGAGTGCGTCTGATCTTCTCGTAGGCTCCTAGGAAGATGAACCCGCCCATGCTGATGAACGCCATCCGTGGCATGCTGCCTGCAAACAGACTACAAGAAGGAAATGAAAATTAGAAGTTGATCATAAAGTCTGTATAAAAAATGTTAAATCTCAGCTGTTAACTTATTAAACCAACAATTTCCAAAACATAGTTGATCAGTGGCACAATGCTACAGGGAGCCATCATGCAACATGGTTTACCCGAGAACATATTGATGCTATAAACAACTGATGGAAAGTTATGTTTACAATTCTTCTGCGTTTTTCCTGCTCCTGATCTGATTGGCTACTAATCTGAATCCCCTAAGAACTATTAGACTTAGAGGACCTGGATTCTGCTGACTATTGTCTACAGCCAGTAAGGAAATGACCCACAAAAATGACAGCTCTATTTAAACATGAAATAGAATGTATTAAAAGGTAAAGGGAGCAGAGTGGGACACGTGCAGGAATCTGTTTTTTGAGCCTTTATGAGGCATAAGAAACACAACGATCCAGGAGGTTAGACGGGGAAGTGTGTCCAGCCGGCCAGTGTTTGAGGGATGGAAGTGATGGACCTTCCCAGTACATCCTTCACCATTCTTCTGTGTTGTTTTTCTCTTCTCCAACTCCAGCCAGTGTTAGCAGTAGCTTGGGCTAGCGTTGTTCTGCCATTAGCACGTCTGCAACCAACGTTTATTGCAGATGTTGAAGGGGGTAGGGACATGCAGATTTAAAGGGGCGTGTCTTGCTTAAAGACATGTTAAACCAGGTTTTCTCAGAACAAATCGTTGCTCATCACCCATCACAACATCACTATTTTACATAGGGAAGCAGGTCGGAGACAACACAAGCTGTTTGGTATGCTACATCAGACACCCCAAGCTGCCTAACAACAACGTTAACGTGGTTTAAAGCTAAACATTTTCCCATCATTTACAGAAGTGTGGTTTTGTGTGGAGGTATGGAGGGGCCCGAAGGAGGAAGTCAAACCTGCGGCTCCATGATGGAGCCTCTACACAACCAGCTCCTGAGTTGGGCCCCAACAAGATGCTGTTGACATCACAAAGGTCAGAGGACGTTATGGGCCATGAAAGAGCCCCATCTCTCCAGAACCAGTCCAGCTTCCCCCCTCATGCTACCCACAGCTGTTTTTGGGATTAGACTTCATCCCTCCCCTTTCTCTCTCTCTGTGCTTGACTGATGGTCAGATGACATCTACACATGTCTGTCTGCTGCCCATCCATCCAACAGCCTCCTTCAGCTGGCTCCGTTGTTTGGGGATTTCTCCTCCGTCTTCTTTTTCTTAATGCTGTGTCAACTACTATTCAAACTCATGCTGACTTGGTCCATTCTGCTAAAATGCCTTTTCATCTCCCTTTCTCACTCCCTTTTATTTTTCCTCACTTCTCTCCGTCTTTCCCTTGCCGTCCATTTACGTACCAACACCTCATGTCTGCCAGAACGCCCCCAAACTCACATGGTCCCAGCCAGATGTACGGGACGTGGAGTGCTTCAGGACGTGTGTCTGTGTGTACGCACGCCGTAAACACACCAGCAAAAAAGAAAAAAGAAAAGTATGTGCATGTGAAAATGGCTGTCTGCACTCATTTGCGTAGGAGTCGGAGTACTTTCCATCTGGTTCAATAAAAAAAGAAGAAATATTGCAATATTGCAATTTGGTTTTCATCATCTCTAAGGAGGTTAACAAATACATGACGCAAAAAAAAATCTAATTTGGGAGCCACTTGAGGAGAGTTGTGTGCTTTGCAGTCACTTTTTCCAAGTTTCAAATTTTCACAATAAGATTAGATGAACAGATCATCATCTGCAAATGGTTACAATCAAAACTGAGATAAAAACCACCTGCGGAGTTCCTCCAGGGTTTGGTATCTCACACACATTAGGGACTGTAGCCATGTGGCCGCTGATTACTGTCATATTAAAACTCTAAGGACTTTTTTTTTATTATTTTATTTTATTTTCATGAATCACACACTCCCCAAACACACTTACTGCTCGATCTCACAATGAAATAAATATGGATTCTTACACAGGTGCTGCTGCTGAACTAGATTTTGATTGAATAGAGTTTAAAGGTCATGAAAATTTCACTTTTGGGAGCTTTTTACAACGTTACATTGTCGTTTCCTCGTGAGAAATACCCCAAACCCCTTTCCTGCCTCAGTGAGAGCTGTTCTGAGACCCCCATGTTGCTACTCTTCAGAGAATATTCAAAGAAGGAAATTTACAATCGGTCCCCTTAGCCCTTTGATGCATAATGGTCACTACAGTGGACAGGAACTCAAAATTGTTATTTATTTATTTTTGCTATTAAGCACAGCTGTTGAAGACTTTATTGCATTTGAGCCCCTCCATTTTGACTTCAGTAAGTCAAGCCAACATATTTCATGTTCAGATTGCACGCTGTCCACTGAGGTTGACATGTAATAAACTATGTGTAAATTAAATGTTACAAAAAATATGTAAATATGAAATTTGTTTCATTCACACCTAAAGATGAATGAAAAAATTTGTTTAAAAAAATCAAGGTTAAAGATTTCATAATTCATGCATCAAAGGGTTAAATACTTTTCTCATAATTGGATTCACCTGTCTATGGAGGTCAAGGGTCACTGAGCTTACCAAACCAATTTTGAGTTCCAATAATTACTTCTAAAGGTTTTGGGATCAATAAAATGACAAAAGTGTCTAAATTAATGCAACCGACTAATTCTGTTTAAACAATTATTGCAAACTTTCTGTAAATCCTATAAACTTCGTATCACTGTGTGTGTCTCCTGTAAGCTATATTTAACTGAAATGTTTTCATCATAATAACCAACGATTTACACAGGGAAATTATGAATACTAACTTTTGCATCTCGCTGTAGGAGGAGGGGCACACAGACCTGCACAGGAAAAAAGTGGCACCTGACAGCAATTTGGGTATCAGGATGAAATCCTTAGACCCGTGGTTAGACCCCTCACCAGTGCAGTGTGTCTTGAGTTCTTCATGGTGGATGGTAACACCTGGCTTCATGTTGCAAGGGTATGAAGGCAGTTCCTGGAGGATGAAAGACTTCCTACTGACTGACATCCAAACTCGCCTGATCTAAATCCAAGACAACATCTTTGGGGCATGTTTAGGTCCATGCAACACCGTAAGGTTGCACCTTAGACTGTTCAGGAAGTCAGGGATGCCCTGGTCCGGATCTGAAAGAAGATACCCTAGGACACCATCCCTCAGCTCATTAGAGGAACGCTCTGATGTTGACAGGCATGAATGGAAGCGCATAGGGGCCATGAAAACCACTAAGGACCATTTCAAGTTGCCCCAATGACATTTCAGCAAATTGGACGAACCTGCTGCTTCCGCTCTAATGTCTTGGTAACTTGGTTTGGATCAAATAACAGCCTCCTTTGTTCCCAACACATTGCCCACTCCATATCAATACTGACATCCATCAATTTGGCTTTTTCAATTGAGACCTTATGTGTTTTCAGAGTCTCCCTTTAATTCTTTTTAGCAGTGAATCGTGCATCAGCGTCATTACTATAGCGAGCCACCATCCTGTCTAATTTAGGAAATATTCCTCACAATAACTACTTTATATTACTTGTTGCAGTTTGCTTCTGCAACACTAACATTATGGTGTAAATGTTTGACATGCATTGTGGGTAGTATAGGTAGGACATCAGGCACATGCTGAGCTATTTCTCCAAACTCAGATTGTTCACAGAGCTACCTACAACAGCTATGGCATTAATGTCAACAGACGTTCCACAGAAACCTGATTTTAGAAGAGCTCCACTTTCCTTTTCAGCATTAAAACCAACTTTTGTACAGCCAGTTATTATTCCAACACAGTGTATGAGCTGGTCGGTAGGTTTTATTCTTCCGTAGCAAGTCTTTTAGGAATCAAAAAGGCTGATTAAATAATGACATATTGTACTATTGTGTCTTGATAAAATAACTTCAGTTTGTACAAGTCATTAAGACATCATTAACTGAATCCATACCTTCAAAAAGGAGGAGGTTTGTCATCCCAAAATACTTTAATATTTTCCAAACATCTAACACAGTTTCAAGTATCTGACTCTCCAGCTAACCTCTTGTCCCAAAATAACCACTTCTGGCTCCAAAAGACAAAGATGACAGTTGAATACAGAGCTGGAGGCTCAGAAGTGTCCAATCTGACTCAGACTCAGATGACTAATGTGCATCTTTGGTGATTACTTTTAGACTGGTTGTTTCCTCTGAGCTGTGATGAAACATCTAACCAACCAAACCTTTAGCAGTGTTTCAGGTTATGTCTGTGCAGATCAGCTGTTCTCAACTGTGCAAAAATATGAAATCGAGTCTGTGGACTAATTAACAAAATGTTCCAAAATACAAACATCATTCACAAGTGTTCTGCTTTGTCTGTTAAACTCTGCTGGGGGAGATGATTTGGTAAAGTACCAAACATTACTAATGTCATTATATCACATTTTATTCTAAGTGAATCAGAAGAAAAATGTCCCAACACATTCCACTCTTCTTCTAGTGGAATGAGCTAGTCTTCGAGCTCATTAGATGTCCCGATAGCCAGAAGTGTGAGGAGTGAACTAATTTTAAACTCCAGACTCTTGTTTTGTCTCAGCTCTCCACCAGAGTTACATTTCCTGTCTGGGATCGGGCCCACCTGTGGACTCAGACGTCAGAGCTGAGCCAGAGCTTGAATATTCCCCTACGCTCCCCCGGGTACCTTGACTCACTGACAACACCGCACAGCCAGCCGCTGAGACATCCTCGAGATGTCAGCCAATCACATCTCCAGAGACATCTGGCTAAAGATAGTTTAGATCATAGTAGGAAAATTTTGTCTGGTCTGAAGTTTAGACAAATGTAACAGTCAACGAGGGGGCTGCAATACTAAAATGCATCTGAAAGTTATCGTCAAGTTTTATTAGTATTTCACACTAAATTGCATTTATTCCCTTGAAGACACATCTATAATTCAAATCTACAAGGCCCTACAGACTAAATTCTTCCCCTAATAATGATGCTGCCACCACTGTGCTTCCC